TTTCAATTTATTTAATTGCATTTAATTTTATTTTGACAAAAAAAAGGTCTTTTTGCGCAAAGGCCTTAATTTCAATCTCATGTCATAAACTTGCTTCAATTTGAATAGTGCAGAATCTTTAATATTTCATTTTATTACCTTCACATAGCTTTATTTTATATTTTTCAAACTTCAAAAACTTTCTGTTGTTTATTTCTAGGTTTAAATACATAAAAAATCCCAGATATTCAATGTGGTCTCATATTTTTTGTCATAGTGTCACCTTTTGCTTGCACTAAATCACAACTAGTTGCATATAATTTATATAGAAAATGACTAGACAAGTGTCACTGTCACCTGCTAATATGAAAGCAGTTTTAAATGTACATACGTGCCCTCGCACACATACACATGCGCACACACACACACACACACACACACACACACACACACACACACACAGAGGCAGTTATGCTGAGCCAGAATCAAAAATATGTGAGCTGTTGTAGTTGCTCTGAATTAACAGCAGATGGCACTGTGACACCACAGTAAAAACTGTCAGGTGGGCAATGAAGCAAAAATGAATTGGTGATGTATTTGTTTATATGTTTCTCTATTTTTTATGAGCGCTCAGGTTCATCAGAAGGTCATTTTAAAGAGAGACGTAAAAATGTGATTGATCAGACTGCAGGTGGAATATGAAACTCTTCTGCTGTCTCATGCAGGCTTTACAGTACTCCATCACCACACATGAATAAAGAGCCATCAGAGACATCAGAGCATCACTCCAACAGAGTTTAGAAAGTGTTGTGCTGTAATATTCAGATCATTATTAAGCCAGTTCATCACAGAACACAGCCTGACTCTGCTCTCTCGCTCTCTCTCTCTTTCTGCCTTTGTGTGTGTATGCCTGACTAACTGTGTGAGAGGCTGTTTAGCTGTTTAACTGTCAAATAAATTTAAAATGTATTCCTGATTGTGTATGAAGTAATTAGTATGATAACCAGAGGAATATGTAACAGTAAAGAAAACCAACACTGGATAAATTGTTGTTGCTAATGATTTTAGTGGTAGAAATGTAATATACAGGTAAAGTACTTAAACAATACAGGTAACAATTTAAAGGCTGTGAATGTAAAATTTACTGTCTGTAGAAGCTGACACCTATTAATGTAAGCTAACGTTCAGGGAGCTAATGGACAGTAAGACTGTCACTAAAACTTACATTATTAAAGGAGTAATCTACCTGCTATTTTGACTCAATCAAGCAATCTTTTTGTTTTTTTTTAAACAGACTTAATAAAACAGTAACAAACTCTGCACAGCCTTTCATGGATTCTAAACCACTTCACTGGAAACAGTTAAACTAGGACGCCTTATATATAACATCTAATCGTGAAATGTGTGTACTTTAATGTACACCTTGTTCCTTACACAGTTCACAGAAAGATCAGAACACACTGTGATCAGTGCCTGAGCTCAAAACTTTTTTTCTCTCATAATGTCATATCTTGCTTTAGTTCTGTGTTCAGATTATTCCTAATAATGTAGGCAAGTCAACTCTGAAATATTTTTATTACTGCAGATACACAAAAAGCTTGATTACTCAAGTAGTTTTACAATCAACTACTTATTTACTCTTATTTAAGTAATTTCCTTTAATAATACTTTTAACTTGTTCTCTTCCCTTGCTGCAGAATTTTCAGTACTCTTTCCACCCCTTAATGCATACATGCCCCCTTCCTATTATCCTGTATTTTTGCATATTGTCACACTAAATGGTTTCAGATCCTCATATACTATGTAATTTAAGATGAGGAGATCACGTTCTGTAATATAAGATGTGTGAAAAAGTAACTGTCCCCTAAACTTATTAACTTAATAATAATAAAAGTTTATTAACAACTTAATAACATTTAGCTTAATATCATTTAGCAGCAACAGCTTTTGTATAACGGGAGATCAGCCTTTCACATCATTGTAGGGGAATTTTGGCCCACTCTTCTTTGCAGAATTGCTTTATATCAGCCACACTGGAGGGCTTTCGAGCATGAACTGCCCATTTAAGGTCCTGGCACAGCATCTTAATGTGGTTCAAGTCAAGACTTCGACTAGGCCACTCCACAACCTTATTTGTTTCTTTTGAGCCATTCAGAGGAGAGCTTAGATGTTTAGATGTTAAGATTCAACAGTGCTGTAATCAAGCTTGATTGTCTAGTTTGACTGGTTTGGTTAACTGGTTGATTGAGTAACTAAAGGAATAATTAATTTTTCACGCAGTTGGTGTTGGATAACTTCTTTCAATCAATAAATGAAATGATTATTTCAAAACTGCATTTTGTGTTTGTCTTATAATTATTCATTCAAAAGTCAATTCAAAATTCAATTCAATTCAAAAGGTCTGAAACAGTTAAGTGCAACAAATATGGAAAAATAGAAGAAATCAGGAGGGGCAAATCCTTTTTCATAGCACTGTACTGACACACAGTAAGGAGTGAGCATGTGAGAGCTAATAATAAGTGTTTACATGTGTTCTGCCCCCAATTAAGGTCATTTAGTGACAAAGTGGTGCTAGTAGAAATACCACTTTGTCTTTTCCTACAATGATACCAATATAGAAACCTTGAGTATCTGCCAATACCAATAAAGATTCAATATTTCTTCTAAAAACTACTAATGAGCTGTTTTTGTTGAAATTCTTTACTTAAGATGATCATCATAGGCCATCATCCTTAAACACTCAACTACACAGGAAGAAATAGACAGCTAATAACATCACATAGTGTGAGTGTGAGGTATTTTAGGATAGATTCATTTTTTTTCCCCTCCAATATCCAATCGGGCCAATACCAATACCCATCAATACTTTTATGTCATCTCTAAGTGCTGATCAAACACATATAATACATCTTCCTCAGCACCCTCATCATCCTCATTAAATCATGCTCAAAGGTAAAATGAAACATTCACTAGTGTGTACACTACTGGAGACCACCCTTCATTTGTTTAATTACAGTGAAAACAGTCATTAAGTACAAGTTATTCATTTTTAAAGAGATATTTCTGAGGAGATCAGACATGAGATCAACACAGTACTATAAGCACATGATTTCCTTGCATAAGGGAGTGGACAATAATAACTAGAGAATCTAAAGATATAGAGGAAATGGAACCATGCAAGACCTGGTAGACAACCAAAACTGTCACGCTCAGACAATTATTATAAGTGTTTATCTTTGAAAGATCAGTCGAGTTCCACTCGATCAGAAAAAATCCACAGATATTTCTGTTCATCCTTGCACTGTGAGAAGACAACTCAACACAATGTGTCTGAAAGGATGTGTGGCTGTCAAGAAGCTATTACTAAGAAAAAGAAGAAAATCAAACAAAAAACTGCTGGTGTTTTAAAACAATGGACTGGCCACCCCCCGGAGTCCAGAACTCAACATTACTGAATGTTTTTAGGATTATTGGAATCATGCGATGCAGAAAAGGCCGCCAACTTCTAAGACTGAACTTTCCCTACAGACTTCTTTAAAAAATGAAAGCAAGTCTGCTGAAAAGAACAGAAGCTATAATTGCTATATATTCTCCAGACCATTTTCAAATATATAATCACTGAGGTGTAATTTTCATTTTTTTTGCTTTGTTCCTGTTGCTGAAAAATGAGTAAAATTATCTTATTGGCCATTTTGAGCTGAAATGAAATAAATGAATGGTGGTCTCTGACTTTTGCATAGCACTGTTTGTGTGGTGTGTGTGTCTGTTCATCCTAACACCTGCTGAAGGCTAACTTTTTGCAGCTAATGAGAGATATTGCCACAAATTTTACATGCACACACACACACACGCACACTCTCCCTCAGGTGAGAAGACCCGGTGAGCTTTATTAGGCAAAGGGAAGTTAAACAGTGGCAGTCCACACGCACACACACTCTCACACACGCAAACACACACTCCACTTCCACGCAAAAACAAACTCATCACGCTAAAGGCGATAGAAAGCTCCTTTCCCTCAGCCCTTCATTACAGACAGGATTACTGCCAATTACGCCACTTCCATTCCAGCACACCATGGGACCCCTCTGATCACACACTAATTTCATTAAAGGCAATAACTGGAGCCCCAGACACAGCCTGAGGAGACACGCTGCCCATCTAAAACACACACTGCCGGATTCCATGTCGTCATAACACATCCTGCGGTAAATATGAGGGATAGACATTTTAAAGTGATAGTTCAGTGCAAAATCTAATTTACAAAATTTTGTCCCTAAAAAGGTGTAAAATTGTGTTTTAGCCCCAGTTCATGTGTAAAAATACATAAACAAACAAATACATAACTAAGGAAATACGTCGACTGAAAGCATCTTTGTCAACCAGGAACCTATGAAGCTAGCACAACTAGTTGATTTAGAGGGGACAGCTCTAAAACACATTAGCTCTGCTAAGTTTGTAATACAATAACAAGGCACTGTGTATCTGTGTGTGTGTGTGTGTAATGCATTGAGGGGATCACAGTGAGCGTATCCGTGGTGACGGCTAATCATTTCATTTCCCTACAGGGCCATGTTTGTCACCTGTCAGGCCACGGCCGTTTATTCGGCCAATGCACTCCCGGTTATGGACAGTCCTGCCAATACGGCCAATTTGTCCTGACAACTGCCAGCACAAAGTGAAAGGCTACAGAGACAGAAAACACTGAGACAAGGCATCTCTTCAGCTGTCACCACCCGGAAGAAAGAGAGCAAGCGAGAGAGAGAATGAGAGAGTGAGAGAGAGATATTTCCTTGCTGCACAGATTTCAACAGAATCTTTTTAAAAACCCAATTTCTGTCTTTGTTCATCATTTTCTATAAATGTCACTTCGCTTTTTCAATACCTGATATTTCCTTTTGAGAACTGGAATACTAGCTTTGGTATTTGTCAGTTTAGACTGAGAAGAAATAATAATAACATGAACACAGGGTGAATGCCATGTTGCTATTGTTGCAGTATATGGTATGATATGGTAAACGCTCAGTCAGAGGAAACATACTTCAGCTAGGCTGTAAAGATGACCACAGGCAAAAAAACCCCCACACATCAGTCACAGTGTGTGACCTTGTTTCCTTGCATATTCAAACTTATTTTTGACATTTCCTGACCAAAAAGGAAAACTGCATACTTTATTGAACATTATAAGTGATTATATTTGATTGTAATATTCCAAAAGTGATGCAATTGTTGCATATTTACATCACTAACACACAGACATACACACACGCACCTGTATCCGTCGATGAAGCTGGCATTGATGTAGTCGGAGCCCTCCACTCCTCTGATTGGCTGAAGACACACACGGGTCGACTCGAAGGGCATAATGTTGACAAGTCTGTTCTTAAACTTGTTGCATGGCAGGTTGGCACTGATGAATCTAGAGGTATGTGCTTTGGAGTTGGCTAATTTCTGCAAAGAGAACCAACAAATACAGAACACTCTCAAAAATAATTTAATTGACATTGGCCTAGCATCTACTGTTATAAACTAAAGAAGCACATCTCAGATATCAATAAACTCATCAACTGCATAGTTTCACAGAACTATTCCTTCATGCTTAATAACTGAACAATAAGCCTAGGGTTCAAACTTATTATTATTATTATTATTATTATTACTATCATTATTATGAGAAGAGTGAGGAATTGAGGTGTGGACCCATTTATGTGGCCTTACAATTTAAAGAGTTCAACACATTTTGTTTTGATGATACCATGCTCATTTGTAATGTGAACATAGTAAGAAGTATAAAGAATTGATAATAAATTGAAATGAACTATATGTGAAATTATTTATAAGTTTGTTTTTGAACTTGCTAGGGTCTGTTCTTGTTAAGATGTGTTTAGAAAGAACACAGAATATCTCTGATGCATGAATTGCCGTTTTTTTTCTATTCTTCTGTAAACAGTATGTCAAAATTTTGACTGATTATCTCAAAATAATGACTTAGTGTTATGAAAATAATGGTTTACTATGCTGAAATAATTACAAAACTGTTTCTTCAAATATTTGATTTATCCTGAAATAATTACTTATCTCAAAATAATTACTGACTTTCTTGAAATCTTGCAAGTCATTATTTAGATGTCATTTTCCAAAATACTAAGTCAAAATTTTGAGAAAAGTCATTTTGACAGTTATCATTTTGATGTAGTTAGTGACTATTTCAAGACACTAAGTAAAATAAAAAACGGTCTTGAAATTATAAAAGACAACTGCTCTGAGACATTCAACATCTGCTAATGTAGCCAGATCTTTTGATCCTGTGTGGTTTGGATGGTTATGTATTTGTGTTTTGTGTGTATCTTAAGTCTTTTTGCTCTTGTTCTCAAACTGAAAAGGCAGAATTCCTCTCAATAAAGCATTAGGGAGACTGAACAATCAAACACAAGCAGTGCAACCTGCTCCCTGAACAGAGAGACTGAGTTAAAAAAAGAGAAAAAGTGGGAGTGAGACAGTGATAGAAGAGAAGACAGACAAAGAGAAAGTGAGTGAGTTTGAATTTTTTAAAAATAAACTGCTGGTAAAAGAAATCTGCAGCACAATGAGCATAAAAAACTCAATTATATTCTCTCTGGATTTACAGCGGTGCAGAGATCACAAGCTGTCTGAAGTGTAATTTGGGCTCTGGAGCTTCGCAGTGGATGCTGTGTCACTTTCACTGTCTCTGGCTGTGTCTCAAATCGAGTACTTATGTAGAGTACATACAGGCCAAGAACAAAATCACTGACGGTGAATTAGACATAAATGAGGCTGCACATATTGGCAGCATGTCCATGGTGGTAAGCCTACTTGTAAGCTAGGTTTGCATCATTTACCAAACATTAGTGAACACCCAGTACTGTACCCACGCTAAACCACAGAACAATACACTTAGTTTGCAGTGATCATACATATATTTGAGGCATTATCAAATATTGATCATAATCGTTAATTATAATATTAATTTCTGTATATTTAATTAAAGTCTTCAGTGAGGTTAGCCTCGGTTAGCTAAACAGCTAGTCATGCAAACTTTGTAATGTGGAATATTTTTGAGGTGTGCATAACTTTAGTGAATAACCGCTTTGTCTGGCTATAAGCTTCGCTTTAGAACCGCCTTTAGCTTGCTAACCAGCAAGCTAGCAGAGTAATGAATTATTATTATTAGCAGTCTTTTATGGAGTAATTTGCTACCTGAAACTTAATTTTTTAGGCTAATCCTAAACACCCACCTGAACAGAAAACTGAATAACTTTGAAACATTTTAAAGTATTGAGTTATAAACAGTTTTGCATTTTTTTGGGTTTAAAAAGGGCAAGTTCTGCTGCTGAATGTGATACTGGTGTTTACTTGGTCCCTCACCCTTGATGGTTCATCTAACAAACTTCACTTGAGCTAATAAAGCAATAGAATGGCATTGGAGAGGCAAAGTCAACAAGGGCTCATGGGAATGGGTGGCTTAAACGATGGCAGTGGCAAAGAGAGAAGAACGAGAAAGGAACAATAGATTAGCGGATGAATTAACTGAATTAGCAGTCAATTAATGGATTATTCAAGTAAGCTAGTTGAAGTCATGGTAAACAGTGGAAGAATATATGCATAGTGCCTGACCTAAAACACAGGGTGTATCTCTCATTGGTGTGGGATCAAAAACTTGTAACCATTTCCCTCAATACAGCAGATTACACCACAACAACAATACAACAGAGCAGGTGCCTGTCTCACAAAGCTAGTTCAGCTTAAACTTAGGCTTAGATATTTAAGTTATGATTAATCCTTTTGCGCTTGCACATGAAAACACGACATTTATGAACAGCCAATCACATGAAATATGAATATGTAGAAATTAAAGTATTTACAACAGAAAAAATGCAAAACTACCACTGTGTTAGTGCTTACTGTAGCAATAATTGCTTTATATTCTTAAAATCTATGCAGTATGACTTGATTCCTCTGCCAAAAAAGCAATATCAAAAAAAATTACATCCGCACACTCCTAACACAAACACAGGCAGACATACCCTCATACACGCACACACACACACACACACGCACATACATGCACACACTCTGTTACATGCTTGCACATAAACAAAAGAATGATTCCATGGTCTCTGTCTGTCTGTCTGTGTTTCTCTCTTTCTCTCTCCCTCCTGGTCTCCTGCTAGCACAGAGTGCTCCTGCACAATGGTTCAGGCTTTCCCTCTTTCTGTCGAAACCACTCTGCCCATGCTGCCTGCTTTTGCGTTCTACATGCTGTCAAGTGCGATTGACAATGACAGAAAAGAAAACTCTTGAGTACAGCTGTTTTCTGTGTGTGCTTACATGGCAGGGTGTGTATCTATAGTTTCAGGCAAACGTTTAGACCAAGCGGACTGAATATGCATTTTTCCTAATCTAATAGACAATTAGATCTACATTAATATGTTTCTAACTCAAATATAAATCGTTAAGCTGATGCCTCTGTATGCAGTCATTTCCAAAACATAAAGTCTTATAAATTTTTTTAAATGCCCCCAAAAAGGAGTTTGGTTCTGAGCCACACAGTGCGAGTACACGTGTATCTTCTCAAAGCCTGCTGGAAAAGCATCCCAGGTGGCCCGTCATGAAGCTGCTTAAGAGAATGCCAAGACTGCGCAAAGCTGCATCAAGACAAGGGGAGGGGCTACTTTGAAGAATCTAAAATAGAAGATGGATTTCATAATTCACCAGGCCTGTGCACAGACATTTAGAGGGGGAAGATGCTGAAAGAAAAAAAGGAGCAACTCGAACATGAATTAAGGTTACTGGTACAACTTTACAATAATACTACCCTTACAAAACATTTATCAATGATTTAAAATGACTTTATTAATGGTTCTTAATTAGGCCATAAGCACACTAAAATCATTAATAAGCAGTTATAACACATTAAGAAAAGGTCAAAAGAGAGCTGTTATATCTAATGAATATAAATATCTCATGAAGCTGACAGGTATGATGACTGAAATAAAGTATGATAAGTAACCATCAAGATCTGAGGTTTAACAGTATAAATGAAATGCAGGTTCACTTTTAAGCAAACAGATCACTAATTAAGGGTAAAAAAGCGTAGTCTTACTCAAAAATGGCACCAACTTAATTTAATTTACAGCAAACAGATTCTTATAAATAAGACAGTGTAATCATGAGGAAAACAACCAGCAACTCCAGTTTCCAGTGTTCAAAGCTGTATGGTTATCCATTACCTGCTAGGAATCAGTGAGTTATAACTCTTTTTAAGGGCTTCACATAGTTTGCCAAAACTCACTGTTTTTTACAATAACAACAATTTGGTTTAGAAAATTATTAGCACCCCTTCCTGCAAATATTATGTTTGGTTGCTGTTCAAAATAACCACGTCATAGAATGTTTTTTAAAGATATGTTTTCAGAGTTTTGTCTGTAAGATTTCCAGCACTGTAGTGATGCATGCATCTGTGACAGGTCAGAGTTAGCAAGGAGTAATCGCCACAGGCCACCAGAGTGGGCACCAAAGTGCGATGAAGCTTGTGATACCTAAGCCAACCCCTTAGCTCTATTCCTGAGCCTCACTGAACAGGTCTTGAAGGATGGCTATTTAAAACCCAATTATACATGCTGACTAAGAGGGCATCTACACAACCAAAGGCAAAAGGGCAAGACCCTTAAGATGCAACCCAAGTGTTAATCTTAAGGGAGGGGTTTCCCTTACTTAAAGGAAGTAGTTAAGGGGGTTGCATAAAATTCTTCAGATGCGTTTCTTAGCTAAGTGAAAATGCTGAGGGGTTTACTACGGTGACTCAGGTTTTGCTGAAGTAAAATTCTACCATGTCCATGACAGCATTCTTTCATTACCGGAACTTACTATTGCCAGTTAACCTAGCTAAGTACTGAAACTAGCCAATTCTCCTGTTACTCTTGTCAATATGAAAAATAATCTGCTTAGTTTAACCATCATCAAAGAGCATCTTCTTTTTGGTGGACATTCTGTACACAGAGGACATGAACATGAAAAATATCTCCTACTACGGGCTGGAAATTCCACTCTGTGATTGGCTGTTTTGCATTTCAGTTTTTCCTGACAAAGGAGACGGTTTTTAACCAACTTCAATGATAAAGCATATCAGCCACTATGGGTGGAGCAGAGCGGGGCAAAGCTTTTCGCATATTGTCACAGTCTAAAATAAAATCTTCAGCCTCTCACTTTCACCAATAATCTTAAGTGAGCATTCTCCTTTCTTCAAATTATACTACTGAAAATGTCAGATAAGGAACTTTATGCAACACTTGAGAGATTCAGAAACTTTAAGGAAATTCAATAGTTAAGGGAAAATGTAACAAAATGATTTAATTCCATTTGCATTATTTAACCCCTTAAAATCACAGGCTTAGAACATGCTAAGGCTTATTATTTAGTAACAACAGTAACTCCAATGCAAACTGGTTGAACTATTCTTAGCTTATAGCAGTGTTTAATAAAACTGCTGGCAGGCCCTGGCCTTTGCGTGATGTGTGTGCGAATGTGCATGTGTCCTGACCTTGAACTCCAGCTCCATGGCTGTGACGGTCTCTCCGGCGGGCACCTGGGTGAGTTTTTGGATGTGTGTGTAGAGGCTGCGGGCCGGAACCTCAGTGTGTCCACAGGTGGCAGCCTCCAGCAGGGCTTCATGAATAAACACATACTGATCCTCCGTCTGCACCATGTAGTTCCTCTGAGCTCGCATGCAAGTCACATGACCGTAAATATCCACCGACTTCTCGTGCTTCATGCGCTCCAGCATGGCGTCGATCACGATGAAGCAGCCTGTCCTTCCAACACCCGCACTGAGGGAGAAACACACACAGCCATTGAAGAGGGGTCTCGTGTTTCTGTGGGTAACCTATAGAATTCACAGTTACCACTGGCAACACGAAGGCTTGATGCAATTTTATATGAATAATTTCTCACTGAAACAATAATAACTGTACACTTAAAAGGGTTCACCTTTGTAATACGACATTCGGTTGCTTTAAAGAGAATAAAACAGGGAGCACACTGCAGTTTACCTGCAATGAACCACCATTGGTCCTGCGTCTGGTGGGTTGCAGGCTTTAACTCTGCGCAGGAAGGCCAGGATGGGTGTAGGATATTCGGGAACGCCGTGGTCCGGCCAGGCCATAAATTGGAACTGCCGCACCTCTCTCTTCTCACTGGAGCCATTCTGTTAGGAGTGAATAATAATAGCTTTATAATATAGCACCTTTAAATAATAAAAAAGGAATATTCATGAAAACATTTGTAAAATAGATTTAAATTAGATATATAGGCCATTCTACTGAATTAAAAAAAAAAAACCTTAAAAAAGGAATTAAAAACAATCAAGTGTTTAGACCTTAGGTATTTACAAGGACTATGTTATGATCTATTTAAACCTAGGCAATTAATAGAGATTAGGTATAAAGTTATAGAAAATCAGCATTAATAGAGTACTTTCCAATGGAATGTGACTGTCCTAAAAGCTGGAAGGTTCAATTATTTGTTTTAAATTTTAATAAAGTAAATATAATTAAGGTACAGGGTCACTCAAAGCAAAAGTTTTTGTCTGAAGTCCAAGTCAGTTAACCCTTAACATCCCAGGCTTATTAAATAATAAGGCTTGTAATATGGTAACTACAGGGACTTCCACGCAAACTGGTTGAGCTATTCTTAGGCTATAGAATTGTGCTATAAAAAACGTGTTTTCAACTCTGACTTTGAACCGGTTCAGTAGAATGATCCATATATGTACTAACTCACTCAAAGATTTAGTAACTTACTCATTTACTCAGTGATTTACATGCTGATTCAACTCCTTTACTCACTGCCTCCCTCCCTCTCTCCCTCCCTCACTTATTCACCCAATCCCACTCTGTGTTTTGTGAGTGAATTTTATACCTTGTATAGAGCGAATGTTCTGACGCTGTAGGTGGCAAGCTCCACAGTGTCCAGCATGCTGACCTGAATCATCCCGTACGTCTCCGTCCCTCTACTTGGCCAGTACTGATCACACTTCACCTACAGGGCAAAAGCACAAACAAAAATAACCCACATACATCTTGCAAAAATAAATCAAAAATAAATAAAACAATGAGCTATGGGGGATGGAAAGGGAGTCTCTATTTAAAAGTAAAATTTTTGTGTGCACTATGCTGGCCTGAATATTGTTTATATATCACCTCTGTATAAGCATGTAGCCTCTAAATATCATCGCTATCACAAGAAAACCTTGTATATTTGAAGGGCCAGCCGCCCTGTACATTGTGTGAACATTTCATGACAGAAATGGTCAAAAAAAAATTACACATTTTGAGGTTCAGCGTGTTTTTTCCTTCTATGAAGTTGCCATTTCAATACCAATGATCTGTAAATAGCCCAAGTAGGTGATTTAGACTAGAATCCGAAGGACTCATTCATGAGTCACTTCCTGTCATATGTGCACACATTCACGAGTGTGTGGTGGACAGCAGAGCAGCCACCTGGACACATCCAGCATATCTGAGCTCACTGCATAATCACAGTCCATCACAAACGGAGAACACATACACACACATACGTTTGCACCTTCTATTCAGTCCGCATATATTTTATGTTACCACCATATGTCACTTTGGCTGGCTGCACATGATGATGATTTAGGCAACATGTTTATGTTCTGTAGTCTGTAGCAATTGAAGTGTGGACCCACATATGTACTCGTAGAGTTTAAGGGGGTGCATTTGTCATTATAGCATAATAACAATTTAAGGGATTTATTATATCAAACCCCTTTTAACTTGTTTACATATGCTGCCAGAACAGTTGTGGTGTGTGCACGTCCATGTTGTGAAACCTAGAACCAGTGCTTTCTGTGTGTCACCATGTTTTCTATCATTGTATAAAAGATGCATAAGTTTTCCTTTATTGTTGGACGCACGAAGATTTTTTCAGAGTGGGTGCATGAGCGCATTCAGAACGCAATTTTGACCGCCAAGGCGAGTAAGTATTGACAAGTATTGTTAAAAAACGTGACGGATGTGACTATTCATGCACTTTCGTTGTTAAAAAAATTTAGCTTGTGAGACAAATAATAATGTACACATTTTCCACTTGTCAGATCACATTCTTTAACATATCAAATAACTGCAACAACAGCACTGACAAGTAATGTGACTCACAGAGAAAAGCAGATTAATTAGAAAAATATCCATGTTTTTGTGTCAGCCTTAAAAAGCTAAGGGGTTGACTAAATATAAGCACCTTCCATTGTACAAATGCATCCAGAAACATCTTTTACAATAGAAACTCACTCTTGTCACAGGCTTGAATGTAGGAAGGAGAAGCAGAAGAGTCAGCTGGCAAACCCACAGGGGTGATCATTCTCTTTCTCACACACACAGAGAGTTTCAGCAAAGCAATTTTCCCAGTCTTGGCTGGGAAAGACATCCTGATATTTTCAAGCACGTTTATAATTCTTGGCAATTAATAATTTGATATGAGCACCTCTGTGACAAAAAGTAGGAGCAGCAATAATAGCATGAGAAAACTCTTGGGGAGCGAGGCACAAGCAAACAAAAGAACTATCATAGCAAAATCCACTAACATTCACCTGATGGGATGTGCATTCCAAGTTCATCCACAAGGATGGCAAAAAAGGACTTTGGTTGAAAATAATGTCACAAGAATATAGCAGCACACAGAGGAACATGTTTTATTATTTAAAACAGCCAAGCGACTGGTAGGTTTTTGTGTTTGATGAGCAATGAAGGCTACCTCTTCAGATGAACCAATGTGCTAACAGATATCATTAGTGTCAGGCTGGATACTTGTTGTCTTCTACATGAGGTATTTTCTCCTCAGTGGATGATGTGCCAACATGTTATTTGCCAGAGAAATATATTTTCATTGTTTCTGGACCTGGCTAACATTAACTAGAGTAACAAGCCTAGTAAGTGATATAGCCGTGCTATCACTAACTTCTCCACCTCAACCTGTGTATTGATTTCAGTAGTCAGATACTGGCACCTTGAAAGTTTAACAGAGCATTTGAGTCCCAATGCACATCCCTAGTGCTCACCGCCTCAGTGGTTTGAAGTAGGCTCCAACGGTTTCGGAGTAGTCAAAATTGTTGCCATGGACCCAAGAAACCGAAGGGGGAATTTTTTGCTTAAAACCTCTTGTTATGTTGTGGGTCAAACGGACTTGTTTCGAAGATTAAATGGAAGTAAATGGAAAATGACTAATTTAATGTGTTTGCAACCCCTCCTGCATGTTTATATTACACACATAATGTTCAGGACAATTTGATCCAGCAGTGAGAATGGTGGCTACAAAGGGTAAAAATATCAAATTTAGACTGAAACTGATTAATTTTCTTTTCAAATTTGACACACAATGTGATTGCCTAATCCCTCCCGACCACATACACACAGGCACACACACATGCACAGACAGTCAAACTCACACACATAACCTTGTTTCTGTGAACTGTAGGGCCATTACATAGACTTCCAGAACTACTACTAACCTAACCCTAACCCTTACCCTATCCCGAACCTTAATCTTAACCTAACCTTAATCTTAGCATCAACGTAAAATTTAATGATTTACATTGTGGGGACCAGCCTGTGGTGTATGAACAGGTTTTGGTCCCCATAATGTGGCACAAACCTGGTCCACACACACTCACACACATACACAATTTTCGTTGTTTTTTTGTTCAGGTTTTCTGTTTTAACACTGTTCAAAAAAATAAAACGTAGTGTTAAAATCATACTTACGGCTCATTTAGTGTGATTTGAATTGAAAGGGTAAATTTGACTTGGGACAGAAGGGATGTTTTATTTGTATCAATCATGGCCCCATGACATAAAATATGTCAAAATGTTGAAAAAGTCTAAATAAAATAAGAATAAGAATGGCTAGTTTTTGCCAATATTCACAAAAAACAGAAAATAATTTTTTGATGAAAAACAAGCGAATTATTATAAATAAAATAAACCATGATCTGGGTGAAGGGGTGAAAAACTTGATTACCCTAAATATTGATTAAATTAATATCAATTTAGCTAAAGATAATGTTTATGGAGAAAAACATTTTTTTAACTACTTTCGGATGGTTAAACATGCGCTTACAATGCTATTGATAAAACTTCCATTCGTTAGTAGGTGGGCAATGTGGGAAAAATATATCGCAACACTTCAAGACACAACATGCATCACAATATTTGTTTTTCTGAGATTTAATAAGACAAAATAGAACCTGTAGTGCCACATCTAGAAATATACTCTGATAATAATAATTACAATGACAATGATTTTTATTCAATGTTTTACCACCTGTGCTGCACTAAATTCAATTAAACTAATTATTCTCACTTTGTAACGCAACGTAGTTAGCGTCCTTTTAGTACTGATGATCCCATGACATGCTCAGAAAAGCACATCGAGACATAATTTATCACGATAGAAACAGAATTTTCAACTTGTTAGCTACATTAGCCTTAAAGCTCCAGAGCAAAACTTAAGCAAACTTCTTTGCCTCCAGATACGTTTTAGCTAATTGTTTTTTTACCCTTTTCCAGTAATGAAGAACATAGTTTGCTACTCTGAGACGATACAAAAAGACTCAGATATGCTGAACTCTAGCATAGCCAGCATTGGTAGCAGTGTTAATAATTTAATTACGTGTCGCAGCACTGCTCTTCCTCACTCTCTCTTTCACACATTCCTGAACCGCAAAGTACATTGTTCACACCTGACCTGCCACTTGACAACACCATTCAGCATCACACACACACTGCACAGCACAAATAAGCAACAGAGTGAGAAGGATCGGTCTATGTGTGTGTGTCTCTCTGCAAAGTACAGTATTTCTGATGGTGAGTGAAAATGAGATAGGGTCCTATCTGTTTTTCTACAAAATGTGGATTTTGTTTATAAAACTAAAAGGAAACCAAAGTATTTTCTGGTTGCTGAAATTAAGGTTAATGTTGCACTAAAAGTGTAAAAAAGCATCAGGGCATCAACTTGAAGAGGGTAGTTCATCTGCAATGATTTGGAATGTTAAAATCCATTGGAATTGATTATACCAATACTCAATAAAGCATTCATTTAAGCACCCACGTTTTGACTAAAAGGTTATTTTCAAATTTTCAAATGGAATAAGTATCAAATATTGTTTTTATTGACTGCATTCTACTAAAAGTTGCTGAAGTAACACTTGGTTATTTTTTTAATCCAATTTAGTTAGTCATGGCCAATTTCACCTTCTATGAAGGTATACCCCTGTCTCACAAGGCTACTAAGCTCAGACATCAGCCACTGCATCTTTTCAAACTGCTGCTAAGACAATGTAATTGGACAGCTCAACACACTTGGAGGAGAACACTTCAATTCTGTTATGTCAGCTAACTAATGCTTGTGTTGGCTAGCATCATGCTGAGTGGCAAAGAGAAAGGGAAGACCCTATTCAGTGCATTTAAAAAAATAATTGCATTATTAAATCAAATGGAATACTGGTAAAATTTGAGATTTCATGAAGCACTGACTTGCCTGCTAAATAATCACAACTGAATAGAATAACTGTAAGGTCAGAGATTTATACTCCTAGTAGTTACTGTAAATAGAGTGGGTCTATATGCATATAGCATATTTCACTGAAGAATAAATATAGTCTTAGGGGCTTTTCGCATGGCAATCATGTAACCATGTTGACTGCAATGCTAGCACAGCTAGCATACTTCGAGCATGGACTGCAGCACTATTTTAAACACAAAAATAAGAATTGCAAAAAGCACTGAAAATAGGAATAAAAATAAATATCGAAAGCAGAGAGCCACCAGTTCATGGTGTATACACTTTTAAATTTTTTCCTAGCAAAAACAGCAGGTTTTATGGCTGACACCAACACAATTAATGTTTTCAACTCGAAGGTGGGTGGGCATATGCTTGTCTCGGGCATATATATGCTGCGTTGCTTTGCCTGTCTCCCACTGAAAATGACTGGGGGATGCATAAGTCCTGTTTGTCGTGTAAAAAGGCCTTTGCAAAGTGTCTATGTATGACTTTACTCACTCTAGATTTCTCTTCCAGTTTGGTCATCATGACAATGGTGTTGGCCCTCTGCTCCCACACCATCCTCCAGAAATCACTGAGTGTTTCGGGGAGAGGCCCCTGTGTGCCAATGTATGCGTTCTGTTTCCTATAGCCGTCAATGTAGTTAGCATTGATGTAGTCACTCCCCGGCACACCTGCACACAAAATACACACTGTTAACACTCCTCACAAAGCAGCTTACATGCCTCTCACAGCAGGCAAAGAACTGTTATTATTGTAAAAGCAGCACTTGCTGCTACACTGAAGAAGATTCTCCATACTGACCATCAATGGGAGTCAGGATGACTCTGGAGTGATCATAAGCAATGACGTTTGCATAGCGGTTCTTTGGCTTGTTGACCTCTAGGTTGGAGTGCTCCCAGGTGAACTGTTGGCCAGGGTCAATTGACTGTGGACAGAGGAGAAAATAAAGACAAGACACTTTACAAGTACTGCTCATCAGTCTGAGTTTGCTTGCTGTTACTTTAGCTGTTTGCTAATGCTTTATGAATATTTAACTTTAACACTCAGCTTCATGCTCAAAAAAGTGTCTTCCTTGCTATGTAGAGCAAGTTTTGCTTTAACTATTATTAGTTTATATCCAAACAATCACTAAAAGCACATACTAAAACCCTCTGGGCTAAAGGTGGTTTGAACACCTGAAAGGTACCTGATTAGCCTTTAATATATTAAGTCATTACAAACCAACAAGCATGCTTGTCTACATTAGAGCCCTATCTTTTACTGATAATACTGGCTGACATTGACGACCCATAGTTTCATCAATATTGGAGAAACAGATCTCATTTCATCTCATTACATGATGTACCAATAAACAGAGATTTCTTTATTTGCAGCATAGCCAGATTTGAACCTACTATGTTTGAGCAAAACCTTGTTCAAATGTATGACAGCAATATAGGCTGAACTGGTTAATCTGAACACAAAACACCATCATGATTAAAATACGCTGTTTTATTTATTGATCCTACAAGGGAAATTTGTAATTTCAAATTTACGCCCAGTCTGGCAGCAGCACAGAGCCGCCTGGGACAGTGCCTTGTATGAGGGTACAACAACGAATACCAAGTAAGTCCTGAGACTTATACCCACAACCCGCTGACTGTTGGCAACAACCTTGGGTTTGCTCTGGCCCAGCATTTGGCCCAGATCTGGCCCACACATTGTAAGGTAGAACTAATGAATGTGACCCATATCTGGACTAATTACATTTTTGGTCTACAACATTTATGCCAGAATTGGCCCACAAATACAGACATAAGGCAAAAGTGTACACTGCTGTATAGCATGCAAGCGTTTGTCGACTACCTGGCAGATGTTAGGTGAGCAGGCTATAATAGGGCCACTATTATTGCCTGTACACATAACATCTGCCTGGTATTCAACCAACACTCCCGTATGAAAGTCAGAATCTGCCCAGAACTGTCAGCTATCTGAATTTCTGCCGTTTATTTGAGTTTAAGAACAGTGACAACTGACGATCAGATCTGTCAGTAAAGCAAGTTATAACTAAAATCAGCCAATATTAACCTCTATCAGAATTTTTTGCCCCTTAAACTTAGTATTAGACACAAAATATTCATACTGGTTTGGCATGTTTTTTTTTTGGCTCAGTGTCCCCAAATGTTTGACGTGTAATGTATCTGGCCACATATTCATGCAGTTTTCAGTCATTTATGCAGTTCAACAGGGTCACTGTTCACAAGTTTTTTAAACTTCAAAGCACATTTTTAAGAAGCTTGCAGTACTGTGGATGAAGATACCACTAGACTTTATTCTGACACAGACATCCACCTTTATTTCCACCACACCACAGCTCAGCCCCTAATACAAACACACCCAGACCCCTGTCTGCTCTCTGCCTCATCCCTAGCTGACCTCGGCCCCAGTTTGCCATAATGAGGCAAAAAAGAGGAAAGCGGGTGAAAGTGTGTGACAGTCAAGAGTCAGGAAAGTGCTTTATTCAGAACACACACACACTGCTACCTCCTCTGCATCTATGGAGCTCATTACTGCTCTAATGGCTGTACTAGACTATTCTTAGCTAAAGAGCAGCAAGGCGGAAAAAAGCTTCACTTGTAATGTAATGGAGAACATAACCACTCATACATACTGACCACTATAAAATATGCATGAAGTAGGAACACTTATACTGGCCATGTTAAGGTGAAGTCTCAGACTTGTGCATTCATTCTGACAAAAAAGACTGTGCATTAGATGGGCAATATGATGATATGTTATCATTATCGTAATAATGTGTGTCAACAACACAGCACAACAAAATGCAACATGAGTGTCATTAGCCACTGATTATTCATTAACTGGCAAGTCTAAATGAAAGAGGTAACCTATCAAAATATCATAATATTATGAATCTATAAAACATAATATAGGCTTCCTAAGGTTAGCTTCCTAATGGTTTTATAATACATATAATTTTACACACACACACACACACACACACACAATATATATATATATATATATATATATATATATATATATATGTATTTACACACACACATGCACAATGAAGACCATCGTATCAAAAAAAATAATCGTGATTCACATCATGTACTGCGCAAAGTATGATGCTGTATTTCTTCCACCTCACCCAGTGTGCATTAATAATCACCAAAATTACCATACTGCTGGCCCGCTTAATAGGTTTAGATTGCTTCGCCAAAAAGCAACAGCACAGTTATAGAAAACTAAACATGGTTCATGGATACGAGGGGTTCTGGAATTTTGACAGACGCATTTGCTTGTAGCTCCAGTGCAAAACTTAGGAAGCAAATTTGTACTGCATATATGGCATGTATTGGAAGTTCGAAATCTGCACTTTCCACAGTATTTCTTCAATTATTAACAATTAATATTAAATTACAATATGCGTGTTATTGACAGTAATAACAGTGGCTCTTGACATTGCCAGAGACAGTTAACTGTACTAGGTAACTTATTTGGTGCGCCAAATATGTGCCAAATGTACAGCTGAGTCAGCTCAACAGTTCTTGGATCTGTTGGACTTATCGCTTCCACACCCACAACCATGTGACATCCACGACCACAAAACTTCCCATTTAAGTCCGAGATTTCTAAGAGCTTAGTCCCTTTTAAGTGCATTACTGCATCTCTCTCTCTCTCTCTCTCTCTCCCTCTTCTACCCCTTCTCCATCTCCCTCTATCCCTTCCTCTCAGCTGTCTGCTATAATAATGGCAGTGTTTGAGAGGTGGGCTGCATATCTTATTTAACAGCCCGTTAGGTAAAGCTTCCTGCATCTCAGGCTGACAAATCACAGCCATTAGTGCTAATGCCTCGCCCTGACAGACTGATCTGTTACCTCAACACTTCACCATTCTCTTTGCATCCCTTCATTTCTCCCTATTCCCCTGATAACTCTATCCTTCCACAATCACCCCTCCCCCCAGTCTTCCATTCAAAGGCATTTCTAGGATTTTGTGGGCCCACCATTTCTGCTGACTCGCCAAATAGATACTTTAAATACAGAGAGCCCCATAATTGACAGGAAAAACCTTTTACTCTTAATTAAAGACTACTCTGGAAGGACCATCTACAACATAGGAATGACAAAGGTTACTGGAGAGACTTGGGAATCATCATTATTAAAGTCAAACCCTTTAACCACTACTGATCAACTAATCTTTTATAATCCCTGATCAGTATTGGAGTTCTCTGAATTCAAAGGTTGAATGATTTGATGATGATATGAAAGTTGAGAATGTGTAAATTTTATTTACATTACACCCCTGCCTTCATCTCTTAATATCCAAACATATTTGTTTGTGCATTCAGCCACTCCAAACAAGCCTTATGCTGTTTTCACATGTGGGCGGTAGATGGTCGATGGGAAACCGTATATTCCATCATTTTCAACGCAACTGCCACCGCAAGCGGCAACGTTCTACAGGCCACCATGGTAAGTGAAACAATTCATCAAGAGCTCAATTTTCCCAACTTTTGCCATCAACTGCAGTGGTGAAATTTTCTGGATGTTGATTTTTTGGGGAGCCATGGACCCCCAACGTCTCGTTGTTGAATTCTAGGTTAATTGAGTTTTATATAACAAAAATAAAAGAATACAGAGTGTCCTCCAGATTTTTCCAAATTAAATAAACAATATACACTGCTAAAACTCTCCTCTGATAATCATCCATTTTTGCTGGCACTGCAGTAACCATGCCAGCATTTGCGTCGCTTCATGCTGTCGTTGGCCACGTACTGCTATGAGGCGCAGAATGACAGTTTTTTCAACGTAAACATGTGAACGCAGCATTAAACCCACAGTCTGCCACTACAGCGCTGCTTCTTCCTTGCTGCTACCCAGACACACCCATTACACTCTGTACTCATAAAAATATCAGTCACAGCCATGCAAATCCTGTTTGCATTCACATATCTCTCTCTTTCACACACAAAAACTTTGTTTTTTGTGTGGGTTTTATTCATGGTGCGTGTGTGGCTGATAACACTTCAAAACTCTGATTCACACTGAAGCACATCAGCTTGTGTTCATATTTGGCTCACTATCTGACCATTTTTTATTTATTTATTTTCATATCAGATAGCGGACTGCGCGGTCTGGGGTTATTATTTACCATGTCTTTTTCTACAGACCCTCTGAGAAGCACTGACTCATCCTCCCCCCAGCATGGCAGTGCTGCTACTGTGTATGTGTGTGTATGTGTGTTGTTCCCTCCCTCAGTGCTATGCAGCTTCCTCAGCCTTTCCACCAAACAGATGCCCAACAGATGCCCAACAAATCTGGCAGGAATCAGTCTCTGTATCCCAGACATTGCTACAGCCTGTTAGCACTGAACAGCAGTAGCTAAGGAAGGAACACTGATGAGGGAGTTGTTCTTGTGGGCTTCATCTGGCTTCACCTAACTGTATGATGACCACCTGGACAGGGACACCCTGTCTGGAAAAAAGCTTTTACATGTTAGCTACAGTTCTATGCAAAATTTCAATATCCTTAATCAAAAGACATGTTGAGTTTCTAAGTGAAAATAAGCTAAGACAATGAAAAACTAAAATATGACTTTTTCTATTATTTTTAGTTCACAGTTTATATTACAATATTTACGATTGCTTGCACACCAAATGTAAAAATAACACACAGTTAGTGAGACCTGACACTGAAGGAGCAACACCTCAGCCCAGATCTGCACAACTATAAGCCCATTCCCAGCCTCACACTTTTAGCAAACCACTAAACCCACTTCTCTACATTAGACAGAGAAATCTAACATGATGTCACTTCTTTTACTGTCACATCGATTACAGGAAGAAATCTGCTAACAAACAGCAACGAACAGTGTGAATTAAGTTAAAAAAAAGAGAGAAAAAAATTACCATATTTCATG